GAGCCACCTGGAAGATGGGGAGAACAGAGTCTTGTGGGTTAGGTGCCTGGGCCTGCTCCCTGGGGCCTAGACTATCGCAGGTCCAACCGTGAAGCTGTTTGTCCCCACACACACCCCATCCCTTCTAGCTTGTTAGCATTCATGGAGACAAGGAAGAGAATGGGATATATAGCATGCACACCTCAGCCCCGGGGAGGTGGTGACCTGGTGGCTTCGGGGCAGATTGGGGCATTTCTGGTCCCAGAGCAGAGATGCAAGCAAGGTGACTTAGCACTGTCATCGTCATGGTCAGCTCTATGTGTTAATCATCTGGCAAGTGATGATAGAGACATTGTTTTAATTGTCTTTTCAGAAGCTATTGGCGAAGCTGCAGAGCTGGGAGAGACTGGACCAGACCATGGGATTGAACATCAGGTAGGTAAAGGGGCTGTGCTTCCCACGTGTCTCACCTGTGGCAGAAAAGCTCTGGCTCCCTCGTTCCTGTTCTCTGTCAGCAGCGAGGCGGGGAGGTGCTTTGTCCCATGCTGCTCAGGTTTAATGAGGCACTTTCACAGTGGAGGGAACTGGAAATGCTGAAATCCATTAAAATCAGAACATCCAGAGCACAATGGTGGCAGATCTCTGATCGCCCTGCATTGCCTGCCTTCGCTAAAGGACTCTTTTGTGTGTATACTGAGGAATTAATTGCTTTTGGGGGAAATCATTCCTTTGAGGTGATTGTAAGCAGTGAAGATGAACTGAGTTTTGGGAGTTAAAAAACTGCCACCACAGTGGAGAATGATTGTCCCGATTGGTCCTCTACAGCAGCCTCTTCAGCTGGTGTTTGCCAAACTCAACACCAGCCAGCGGGGCAGAGGACTGGCGCTGGGCCTTGTGCTCTGGTACACAGGAGGGCAGAAGTGTGCCATCCCTGATCCTGTCAGTCCTACTGCCACATCCTTCTAGGGATGGAGCACGTTAGGTTGGCACCCCTCCTTTTGTGGTGGTCTCAGGAAGGGTGTGGGGTTGATCTCTGGATGAGTCATTGGTGCCCCGGGGCACAGCGCCTTGGTGCTCAGAGAGCCTTTTGTTTTCCTTGCTTGTGGCATTTTAAGACTTTCAGCTTCTTGCTTGTCTTTCCTTTTGCTCTTGGAAGCGAGGCCAAGATTGAGACCCTTTCTTTCTTTCTTTTAAGAATTATTTATTTAATTTTATGTCTTCAGTCATTTATTTTGATTCGACCGGAGAGAGTGAGAGAAAGGGAAAGTGATAAAGCAAGCCCCCAGGTCCAGGACTTGAACTGTGGTCGGCCGTGTGGGAGTGTCCAGCACTTTAACACTCCATGTGTTAGTTAGCCCCTTGAAACCTTTTCTTAAATAACTGTCCTGCAATCACACTATCCAGCTGCTGGTTCTGGAGCGTGCCACTTTCCAGTCGGCATTACTGACTTCAGTTCCCTGTCACTTGGAAATGCCTGTTTATTTCCTCTTAGCCTGCAGAGTCACAGGGCTCAGACCAGGCTGCTGCTGCTTCTTGAACTCCAGCCGCAGAACCCAGACTCCTGGAGGGCTGGCCCCAGCAGGGTCTGAATGCTTTGTGCTTCTTCCTGTTCTCTGGGCTTATTAACTGCCTTCTTGCTCCTGGGGATACTCTGGTCAGATGAGAAAACGCCGTGACTTCTTCCTCTTGGAGAAGATCAGAGGCCCATTTGTGCCTAATCTGACAGCCTTGTTGGAGTGCTCAAATGCCTATCGTCTGCCATAGAGCATTTTGTGTCAGCTAGGGTGCGGAGGTGCACAAGCAGCTGTCTCTGACAGAGTGGCACAGGGGTCCATGGCCAGTTTGGGCAGTACTGTGGCTCCTGGAATCTCTCGGTCTCGTTTACACACTGAGGGTCCTGCCCTGAATGTGGCTGGCATGTGGCCAAGTTGGTCCTTGGGGTGGTCACGTGTTTGTAATCTTGTGTGTTGTGTCTGCTCAGCCTTTCCTGGTTGCCGGGAATGAGGGAGAGGGATGACAGGTACCTGTGCCCACTACCAGGTAGGGGCTGGGCAGGAGAAGAGTAGAGGTACCTGTGGTGCTCTGCATGTCTTTGGTGAAGAAATTAGTGGTGTGGCCAAGGCTAGAATCTAGTTTCCCTCTTCCACCAACTGGCGGGACCCTCCTCAAGTTATTGCACTGCCCTGGGCCGGTGGAAAGGAGAACACAGTGACTTCCTTACCCTGTGCATATACCTAGGAACTGGAGAGTATTGTTGTTACTGGCCTTTCTGGGTGGCTTGAAGGCTGGCTTCCATATACTGGGTTTTCAGAAAACCCATTATTGCGTAGAAAAATATATCAAGACTTTTCCAATGACCCAATAGAAAGGCAGATGGAGTCATTGTCATTGCCGGGTCAGAGCCTTGGCTCCTGAGGCTCTGTTGGTGGCGGGCTTCTGTACAGGACCAGTTTTCCTTCATACACTTTGTCATCTGTCGTGCCTGGGCCTCTCCAGGGGGCTGCACTGGCTGCCTGGCATCTTGGACATCACATTTCCTGTTCATGACTAAGGCCAATGTCTGAGCACTATTATGGGTCAAGCCTCATCGTTAGGTGACTTGAGTGCTGACTTACGCAGTTATGTTAGTCATGTAACAATTCACAGGAACAGACTTATGGTACTGAAGATGGCCCATTATCAGACACTTAGGGAGTCTGATAAATGCGTCCCCAGGGGGTCTGCATCTCCAAGGACTGTACTTGAGTATTGGGATGACCTTGAATACGGTAATATTGGGTTGTCGGAAAAGTCATTACGTATTTTTTTTTAATGCAAAATGACTTCATGACTTTTCTGACAACCCAATATTAGGATTTTTGACTTGCCTCTTTTTTCTGTTCTTTTTGGGTAGGTTTTGGGCAATTATTAGAGATTTCTGAGCAGGGAGGAGGACTTAGATGAGGCCCATATTTAATAAATTGTAATGTGGTGTTGGGAAATGGGCAGAAGGAGTATAGAAAGCAGTGAAGAGCTGCAGTCCCCTGACCATAGCTTGGGGTTCCTGCTAAAAAAGATGCCTGTTTGCAGGTCCAAGCACATGCTGATAGGACTTTGCTTACTAACTCTCACGGACCTGCTGACCTGAGCCATGTGGGGCCTGAGGTGATTGGCTGGCTCTTACTACATCAGACATTACCTGCAGAAGCAGATGCTCCAATGGCTGGGAGTGTGTTTTGGCCAGCTCTTGGAGGGCTTGAATCTGTAATTTTGGGGTATGTTGTGACCCCAGGCTCCATGGGTTCTGGGGAGCTGCCACCACTAGGTGGCACACCCCCGCTGGCTTCCTGCAGGCTGCTCCCTTTGGATTCTGTTTTTAGGCCGATTGCCCACAGTTTCTCCTGTCCCATAGTTCCTGTGGCCCATGGCCCCTGTGCCTTGGAACTTCGTTGTTCACACCAGGATTTGGGTTCACGGGGGCTGAGGAATCTAGTTATAGTTCTTACCTGCATTTGGGTAGTCAGGCAACTGCTTTTAATGGTCCCATGCCTGCCCCATCCTTGACTAGTCTCACCCCTGGGGAGTTGCTGGTGCTCACCAGATACTCTCTGCATAGGCTTTCCTCTGAAGATGGGGCTTTGTCTTCTCTGAGATTCTCAGAGGACTCTGTAACTTGACTTCTAGGTCAGGAACTGTGCTCTGCCCTAACACCTGAGCTGCCAGGTTCCACCCAGTGTCATAATGGCCACCCTTGTCCCAATTTGGGGTTTCTTATGTCTGAGCAGCCCAGAGATATCAGCAGAGGGGTATTAGTGTGCTAGCTAGGGTGAGTCAGTCAGCATAAACCAAGGCGAAGCATAAACCAAGACCCAGGTTCCTTTATGTCTGATGGGCCTGTCCACTTGTATGTGTCCAGCAAACAGAGTCTAATCTCTAAGCAGAGATTAGGCTTCACTACTTCAGAATTCAGGGGAAGGTGGGAATACAGTGTGTAGATGGGGCTACATGACCACGGGCCTGGGGCAGGGTGGGGCCCTGTGTGCTGGGTGGACACTGCTGCTGGGAGTGTGGTATGGAAAACATTCAGCAAGCTACACTTCCTACTGAACATAAAACTTACCTTAAAACGGAACATAGACCTATGTGTGAAAGCTAAAATTTCTGGAAGCTTGGGTTTGGCAAGCTCTCTTAGGTCTCACAGAGCTTGAACCATAAGTGAAAAAGCTGATAAATTAGACTTCATCAAAATTAAAAACTTTCACTCTCAAAAAACATAAGAAAGTGACCAGATTTTAAAAAGGGGATAAAGGATGGGTAAAAAACTTTGAACAAGTACTTTTTATTTTTATTTTTTTTTAGTGCATATTTTATGACATTCAGGTAGTAAATCAGGACATGAAAAGATACTCATCATTGTTAGTTATTAGGGGAATGTAGATTAAGTTCACAGTAAAATACCACTCCTTACCCAATAGAGTGACTAAATTAAAGAGACTGATTATCGCAACTGTTGGCCAAGATGTAGAATAACCATATCTTTCATATATTGCTTTGGGGAGTAGAAAATGGTATAGTCCCTTTGGAAATAGTTTGTCAACTTTTTCTATACTATAAACTAGCAATTCCACTCCTGGGTATTTAACCAAGAAAAATGAAAACACATGACCTCATGAAGACTTCTACAAGAATGTTTATAGGAGCATTATTTATAATAGCCAAAAAAATAGAAACCATGCAGAAGTTATTGACAGGAGAAGCAGTGAATGGCCCATGATATGTCCACCCAAAGGGAAACAGCAGTAATTTGAAATTTGAAAAAAGGCAAAACTGACCTGTAGTGACAGAGAGCAGGTCCATGATTCCTTGAGTCTAGGGTTGGTGTACATTTGGGGATATGAGGGACCCTACGGTGTATGAAATGTCCTGTGACTTCACTGAAGGTGCTAGAGTGTATGTAAATTATACCTCAATAAAGCTGGTCTGTGAAGGAGGGACTAGTCAGCTCTCATGACCAGCTGTGAGGGGAAAGCAAAGCCCACAAAGTTCACTGGAACTTGGAGTGGGTGGAAGCTGCCATTTGTGGCTGGCTCTTTTGGTGACAGAGCCCGAGCCTGTCAAAGGCCTCTGGGCAGTCCAGAGCTACTGGGTAAATTTGATGCCCCAGGCCCGGCTCTCTGTCAGTTTGCCTGGATCTTTGGAACTCAGGGCACTGGTGTTGTGGAGAATGGCATTGTGTGAGACCAGGTATAAGCTGCATATGCTTGATTCAAAACAGAACAAGTGTATGGTAACCGTAAGCAGGTAAAATGAAAAGTTGCTCCTCACCTCAACTAGCAGACCTTAGCCAGGCTGGCTGCTTTGGTCACAGCTTCCTGTACACAATCACATCATGTTGTGGTTATGCCCAGGGGTGCCAGTCACAGAGAATAGAACCTGTGGTTGCCCCCAGAGGTGGG